TCTGACTGCTGACGAGATCGCCGTACGACGTCTCGTAGTGGAGAGGAGGATCCAGCGTGTGTCCAGGAACGGCACAAGGAGCTTCTCGAGCTTCGTCAGGCATGCGCTGAGCAGCTTCTTGTCCTTGCTACGATGGCCGAGTCTGCAGCCATGAGACACACCGACGCGTACTTCTGGTACTGCTTGCCGTTAAAGTACCAACTCGTCTTGTTGAGCGCCCAGTGGTCAGCGATATCGGCCTGCAGAGTCTGGAGAAGACCCACTTTTGCTACAACCTCGGCAGACGGTTTACTGGTTGGGTAGAAGTCCACCTCCAACTCATCTTCAGGCTCCGAAAGGACCCACTTTCCAGTCGTGGCTACTTGGGCGACCATTTTGCCTCGAGTGGCCGAATTAAGGACAATCGCTTTGGGGCTTTTAGCAGTGATGGCTCCTTTCAACGCTGGGAGGTGGTGAGGCAGTGCGAAGTGAAGCATCCCGTTGGTCTTACAGCTCTTCCCCACCGTTTCCCAGTTTACCGGGTATTGAGTACGAGACTCCACAGACACGTGGCCACCACGGACGTGACACGCTCGGTACTTATCGTAGACGGTAGTGGCCTTTTTCGATGGTAGAATGGCAACACGCACGGTGCCACTGAACAACCCACTGGAAACGAGAGCTTTGCCCGACTCGTCGAGCGCAAAGCTGCCGTTGTTACCAGTGTACACGACCCACGTCTGGTTCCCACCAAGCTGAAGGATGTACTTGCCTGGCACCGACTTGTCCACGATCTCCATGGTGTATTCCGACTCGATCCGAGCGGTCAGACGGTCGTACGTGGCTGTGATGAAGGCCATGCCGTGCACAAGAGCAGAGTCCAAGCACTGCTCCTTGTTCTCGAGACAGGCTCGAACGTTGATGCCAAAGTCGCTGAAGGCGTAAATCTCATACGTGGGCTTGGCTTCACCGGCAAATTCCGTGGCCGACAGCGTGAGGTCGTTGACAAAGTCGTGCAGATAAAGCTCCGCGACGCCATCGGTGATAGCGGACAACTGCCGGTAGTTGTACGAGTAACAAGCTTGGATGCCGTACGGAGCTTCCTTCGGCAGCTTGACGGCGTACGGGTTGGACCAGCCAGGGTTGGCTTTCGTATTCATCTCTTCAGCGGTAGTGTGGATGATGTTACCCCACCATTTGTTCGTTGGAAGTGGCTTGCCCAGCAGACCTTCCGCAACGTTAATGATCGGAGCCATCTCACACAGAGTGCACTGCGAGGGAAGAGAGTTGTCGACGGTTCTCAGTCGAGAAGTGG